AGGTCAAATGTCTGAGTTTAATTTTTAAAAGGGAAAGATCATTCTAGACAAACACAAATTGGATCGTCCCAGAATATTGTCGACAATATTTAAATAAGATTTTTACTAAAATAATGCAATAACTATTTTCATCGTTAAAAAAAAATTAAAAACAATAAAAAAACTAATTTAAGATATTAACTAAATCAAAATAGCACATAAACGAATTTTCGTGTCTACAACTAACCATAACAAGTTTGAATAAATTTAACATTGAGAAAGGAGTTTCAATCACATGATAAACTTTTTTTTTATGTATTTGTATGGGTAAATTTAAACTGTGGTGTTTCCACTAGCCAAATACATGTACAAAGACATATTGTCGGTTGATTGCCATTGGACCAATCCGATTGAGGTTTTCCCATTGGACCGATAGATCGGAATAGATTAGTCAAACGGGACACCCTTGTTGTCTCGGTTTTTGTCACGAGAGACGATAGTATGTTTTTGTAGACATGTTTCGTCAATGAAAACCCACCGCAAGTTGTACAGAATAAGTAATGTGCGATACACTGAACCTACCCCACTAATAATAAAGTAAAAATGTCCATCAAAATTGAATTATAAATAAAGAGATCACATGCTATAGAAACAAGCTAAGTAAAGCTCTCGGGTTTATTCGTGTTAAGGTGCTTTTCCACTAAAACTGATATTGATGGTGGGTTGAGTAAAAATTAATAAAGTTAAAATAAAAACTTTAAATAAAAGATTTTATCCAATTTTAGCGATAATTTAAACAGTTTAAAAAAATAATAATTTTTAATGTTTTTTTTTAATATAAGATCCATTTAGTGAATCCGCACACATAACGAAAGTATGTTAAGTCAAATATTAATTAGTCAAAACTAAATGTAAAAAATATTTGAAGGGGTATATAAGCCAAATCATACACAAACTATGGAACATTTCATTGACATACACACATTTTTATATAACTTCTATATATCTATTTTGTTCACTGCTATAACTATATTATGCTTTGTACATTGATTTTAATATTCAACTGTTTTCAAATTACAAAAATAAATATCACGCCTTTAGAATACTCAAGATAGTCAAAACTACACTATGAATCAAAAATAATATTATCCAAGATTGAAAATTCTTCTAAAGCGATAACATTTACATATATTATTGCAGAATTCGTTTAAGATTATACTTAATTTGTGCTCTAAGGTACTCTATGAATTTAGATCCGATATTGCACAGACTTAAACTACAAAAATTTACAAAAAAAAAACACCGACCAAAATTACAATGATATGACATTAAAAACTATCTGTACTTAAAAAAAAAAATGATTAACCATCAGTAGTAAAATTTGATTCATATAAAACTTCATTTGAATTCAGTTAATCCTAAAAGAAAATAATTCAATATACCCTTTTACATGATTTGGCTTATTATTTATATACCAGATTGATCACAAGAAAAGACAACCCTATCACAATCGAATAAGTAATTATTAAAAAAAAACAGCACCTATCAGTTGAAATTTCTAAGAAAATTATGTGAATAAAATTTTTAAAATGTTGAAATGATAAAAAAAAATGACAACTTACTTTATGAAGTTGGCTAAAAAAATGTAACATTTTCATTGAATTCAGTTAAAGGCAAAGAAAAATCATACTTAAACTGGATAGTACAACGCAACAGACATTAAGTCACCCTAAATTCAGTCAAAAACAGGCAATATAGTGAATTTAACATCCAAATACAGTGAAGAAAAAAGTTTGTACTGCAAAATAATTTCAAACTGAAAAAAAGATACTACCATGATTTCAAAACTTTAGTAAACATTAAAAAGTGCGTAAAATCCATCGAAAATCTTCACTCAGGGAGACACTGACCGATCTCTGTGATGACTAGGCTTTTATAATTCGATACATCTCAGAAAGTAACTGGATCTAGTCCGGAATATTGCAAATTTTTAGTCTTAAAAATATGATAATAAAAATCCAAATTCTGTTAACAGTCAAATAATTACTAACCCAAGGTCTAAAAATTGTTTAAAGAATCAGCTTATTGGAAATTCATAAAATAGAAAATAGGAAGACAAAGAGAAATATTGCAATTCTCCGAACAGGATCTTTTAATGGCGTACAAACTCAAGCGGGATAAATTCTTGACGCACCAGCCACGCCCACCATACATACATTCACACAAACATTTGTACTACGCCAGTATGCTACCCGCTTTATAGAGCCTCACAGACGAACAAACCCCTAAATTATAACCAATTTACAAGCTTACTACAACTAACAATTAATATGCATCTACCTTCGTAATTAAAAACAATTCAGACCATATCGTAAGCGACGCGAATACTGAGTTGAGTCAATGCAAATGGAACAAATACTTCATCAAGATAAATTTTGTGAAGCTTTGCTATATTTTTTAGTCAAAAATTGTCACATATAGAACCTACTTAAAACTAAAAGGATATGTTCGACGGCGATACAAACTCTTGGGAATTAGTTGAAAAAAAATATTACTCTAGTGTAGACGTTAAAACTCTACACTAAAATAATTAAATAAAATAGGGAACCGGAAAGGGGGATAGTCTCGCTGAGATGTTTGCTGGACACAAGATGCAAAATTAACCTAAGATCGTCGCCCGACTTTGTTCTGAGTTGACACCGCACAACATCACATCTCCCACACCACATATCACCATGACACCATCGCAAGCGACGCCCAAATACACCCGCAACGAAACATACTTTCATACCACAAACGGACAGACAGATCAGACCATGATTACAAGATTGTGGCAAAAGAGGTCCAAAACTATTCAATACTAAAATCACCGACCAGTGAGACGTTGAGATGATAATTTGAGAGCGTACATAAAACAAAGATTCAAGTAAACAAACAGCTGACGTACTCTGACGTTTCAAAATGTCAAATCATGAATGCCAAATTGACATCTTACAGACGTCGATTTGGCGTCTATCATTGTGACGTAAGCGTTCCGATTCACGCAAAGTATAAAATAAAATAGACGCGCAAATTAGCGCACTCGTCTGTGCGATAATCTTTTTCAAAGGATTTATAAGTTTGTATAAACATAACAAACATTTTTTTTCAACCTACATTCACATCGATTGCACATAAACCTTAGCATGAATTAATACTTCATAAGTTTGTCCACAAAAGTGATATCACTAAAGGCAGTTTAAAATATCAACGAAGAATTTTTGTTTTGTCAACATTTCTCAAATAGTCATTTTAATAAGTATCAAAAATAATTTGCACATCTATTACTAATTATTTGCATTCACAAACATCTAGGCAGTAGCTACAGGTCACATGGAATTGCTTAATAATGGTGTTCAAAATTGAAACCTATATATTAAATTTATATTTATAATTAACATTCCAACAGCTTGCCGTATAGTCCAATCACGATAACTCTGCAAAATATTACAAAATGTAATTTTCTGTATGGCAATACTGAAAAAGTCCATTCTAAAGGAACAAAATTTTTAGTCAAGATTTGTCAAATATTTGAATACGGCTTTATTTGAAGCTTTTGTCGGAATTTGCGATAATTAGATGAATTTTTGATAAAAAAAATATTGTCAAACATATTTGAACGTTATCAAATGACAAATGACGTTAATGATGGAGTTGCCATAGTCAATTTTAGGGCTACTATTTTATGAACACAGAGTTACCATAGATGATCTACATGCTGTTGTCAATATCACTTTATAGACAATAATTAAATTGTTGACACTCAAAACACAAGTCTCACTGATCTCCGAAATAAATGAGCAATAAGGCAGAAGCTACATAATGGATGAACTCCATACAAAAACTTGTCATACACACATACCCATACTAAATATATAATCTAACTTATATACAGTGGAGGAATTTTTCAAACCACTAATTGGTAAATGGACGTTTGACACTTCCCAACAAGTATCCATTCATTTAATATTAATATAATTTAATTCGAAATTTAATTTTATAACTTGCTTAAATAGAAAAAGCTGCTATGAGAAAATAAACTAAGCTATTGAGATTTCATAGCGGTTTTTTCCGACAAGTTTTCTTTAGTTATTCCCCTACTGTATACTACGGATACAAGCACCCCCACTAACTATTGAAAATATATCTCTTTTACTTTACAATTTTAGTACATTTAAAGTCGATTGAATAAGCATAGGTCAAAAAATTTTAATATTGACATATACAGCAACATTCTGTCCGGGATAAGCAAGAATTCAAAGAACCAATTGTTTCTCTAACCCGAGATCCTCTCATGTAGAGTTTGTCGAGACAAGATGAATCTGGCTTATAGAGTTTCTCGTTTATCCTGGTTCGACTGTATACAATATGAAGGTTATATGTGAAAATACTATATGTAACTAAGAGAGAATAGATAAATATATATGACAATTGAACACCTAATACAAATTCATTAATTTTGTATACTTTACTAATAATAGCGATAATATGACAAGAGATTTTATATATCACTATATATCTATACAAAAATCTTAAGACATATACATTTCAATAGGCGAAAGTATACTACGATTGCACATTAAGGCATACATAATCTAAATTGAAGATGATTCTTTTATATATATGTATATAAAACTAAATGGATATCCCTTATATTATATAACATATTGTTCTATATATAAATTAAAATTTTTTATATGTCACATATAATCAGATGAACGGTAAATGGTTAAGTGATGATGAAAAAACTCTCTGACCATGGGTTTCTGAGACCAAAATTCCCATATAAAACATATCTTCATCTCTATTTTGTCAATAATGATAGGGATGAAGATATGTTTTATACAAATACCTTTGGTCTCAGAAACCAACAGTTAATCATTTAAATCAAATGTTAATTAAATTATGTAATATTTGAATATGTTGTCAATAATAATAAATTTTATATTTGCTGGCTTATATTTAAATATGGGATAAAAGATTGATTTTAATTCCAAAATAAGATAAGAGATTCGAAATGAAATTTAAGAAAACGACATATTGTTATTAATATGGGATATCACATAAAGTTCTAATTTCTAAGTACAACTGCATAGTACAATCTAAAGTCAAAGTGCCATCATCATTCCATTCAAAGTTTTCGTTTGGTCAAAATTTAAGATATATATGTTTTTTGTACTTTGCGTGCGTCAAAGGCATTTCATAGTTTAGGATATCGCGAAACATTTTAATACTTACATACAACTATATTAATATTACATATCCCACTTCGGCACTTTTACTTTAGACATTACAACAAAAGCAATAGTTTGGTCAACATTATAGCGGGTTTATGAGCACTGTATTTTTAATACCGCAATTATATTATCAGTGTAAAATGTGCGCCAAAAATATGTGCTCGAAAGACCAAAAAAAATAATTAAGCGTTAAGTAAATCCCTTAGCGAGTCTCTCACACTAAAACTACACTAAGGGGAGATAGTTAACTAGTCAAGTGCGGTATTTATTTTGAGGGTTCACCGATATTTTAAATGCGGTATTATTTATCACAGCCGTCCTGTCTGTCAGCCGGCGTTGTCACTTTCACTTGTCACTGTCAGGCACTGAGACACTGCGGGGCACTGCGACACTGCGGGGCACTGAGACACTGCGGGGCACTGAGACAGTGCGGGGCACTGAGACACTGCGGGGCACTAGGGCAGTGCGGGCGCGGGCACGGGGGCACTGGCGACGTGGTGGTGCCTGGTGCGGGTGCGGGTGCGGCGGGGCGCGCGCGGGGACGGGTGCTACCTGCGCCCGATCAGTCCGTTGGAGTTGCTGCTCGTGCTCGGACACATCTCCAGCTCCACCAGCAGCGGGAAGTGATCTGAAATAAAACAATACATTTGGTATACCCCTGCAGCAATGCAAAGAATTAAAACAAGTTGCTAGCGACAGTTCCTCCGTCCAAGTATTATGTGGGAGCTTTGAAGAGTGGAGTGAATAGGCATTGACTAAGCGAGCGTGTACTATCCTTCGGCCACATCACCACTTAATATCAGATGGGATTATCGCTTATTCATGATAAAAAAAACTCCACAAAAACAAGCTATAGGAAATTTGAAGAATTCGACTATGAAGAATGTGGTAAGAGAAATCAGATATTGAGAAATGAGGACTGGAACGACGAAAGACAGATTGTTCTGGTGAAGGAAAACTGGTGAACCTAAGTTACTGGACAAGTACCTGAAGGTATGTGGGGATGTGGGCAGCCGACGACCTTGTGCTCGCGGAACCAGTCCTGCGAGAGCGGGCCCAGCAGACCGAGCGGCGTCATCGACTGCTTGCTATAGAAGATGTAGTCAATGATGCCCTTGAAGTCGAAACTGAAAATATTCAAACACAACAAATATTACTAATTACTTCGAATATTTGGATGCATAGATTTATTTTGTTAGAAGGTATCTCCAGAGTGGTTGCATGGATCTCTATTGAATTTGCCATTGATGTAGAATATAGCCTCAAAGAAGACATAGGATACATTTAACTTACTTCGTTGACTCTGCAACGATTGAACAAATCTTATTGAAATTTGGCACAGATATACAGAACAGTCTTGAATGGTAAATAGGATACTTTTCTCCATTTTTTAAAATCTGCGCAGACGAAGTCATGGGCAAAAGCTACAAAATATACCAAAACATTCAATTCCTTAAAAAACAAATAAATTTTAGAAGTAAAGGAAAATGTTGGTGAAGTAAAGCAAAGTTTAGATAAAATTCGTATAAATATTAACGTGTAGTTGGTGTAGGGCATGATGTCCTCGCTGTAGGCGGAGGCGAGCTTGAAGTTGTGCGTGAACTCGTGCTCGGAGCCGGGCATGCGGCGCAGCGAGCCGGCGTAACCCAGCTCCTTGAAGTCGCGGTGCTCAGACGACACGCGACCGGACGACAGGAACTCCACCACGCCTGACACAAACAGAACCAATCTCATTCTTTAACACGTTCAATGTCACAACAATTTAAATTGTCAACGTGTTAACCCTTCAACAGTTATTGACTGAGCTGGTACAACCATTGAGAATTTTAGAAGAGATTTGTAAAAAGTAGACGCCTCTGTGTTTCCTGTAAGTCAATTACTAAAAGCTTATATCCTCTATCCAATTTTTTCTAAAGAAAGGTGATAATTTAAAAAATATTGGCGATGAAACTTATCAGTCTGCTGCCAATGTTAATCAATAGGTGTTCACTTAACGTCTCTTACTTAAATAGATTTGTATTGATGCTTGTACAATTCTGTCGAGCAGCAAATGTACGAGGATTTGCAGTAATTTCTACTGCTGGTTCTTGTTTACAAAATATTTATATAATACTAGAAAATTATAATGCAGGGTACGTAGTAACTGACCGCTGTCGGGCAGAGAGTTGAAGTCCCCACATAGCAGCAGCTGCACATTATCACGCTGTCCGGCGAGACGCAGCGTGCGCGCCGAGTCATCCAAGATGCTGCGCAGCTCATTGCTCAGCATCATCGTCTGAATTAGCTTCACATCGCAGAACTCAGGGTCCCAGTGGATGTGCGCCGTGCACACCAGGATGGGCTGGCCCAGTGTCGCTGCGTCCGACGGGATGCCTGCTCCATGGACAAACATATATCTAGATGATAAATTCACATTACATCTACGCAACATTCTTCCGTCTCCATACAATCATTCTAAAATTGTTATAAAACAATTCTGTCCCTAAGTAAATCTAGAAGGAAATACATAGATAAGATTTATACCGTTCTCCCATGCAGCCTCCTTGGTCTTGAGTAGCGCGGCGAGGCCGATGTTGTCTTTGGGCATGACGCGGTTCAGCATGTTATCTGAACCTTCGCTATTTGCCATCGCCAGCTGATTAAATTCTATGAGGTGCTCCTTTACTAAAGCAAATCTGGAAAACGTGCAATATAACTAAATTAATAAAACGAAGAAAAGCAACAGATGACAAAGAGCTAAAAACCTAAATCCGATTAGCAAAAGCAAGGAAATTTTTGTTAGGACAAATAAAAGGTTGACCCTAAATAACTAGAGGGCTCTTCTGATTTTGTATTTTGTGGTGCATCATCGTCGAATTAATAAAAAAAAATCTGTCTCGATGACATACTTAGCAGATCTAAAGAAGATGGCGCATCCGTCGACGTATTTCCTCTCCGACTCTGACATGGTCTTGGCGCGGGACTTGGGCGAGAAGATGCCATCGTACCCGTCCTGCTTCAGCTCCGGCAGGAAGAAGCTATAGAACTGGTCCGTTTCCACCTCCTACACGATAACGAACAATATGTAAGTTTTGATACTGACTGAATGCCCTTAACCCAAAGATGACGCAGGGTTTTAATGTTCTTGACCCATTTAGCTTGTTTCTACTTTTCAGTCGACAAACACGATAGTGCCACCACGATTTTACAGTGGCACAGGACGAATTAAGCATTGATTTTTGGTTATATGTCATTTTAGAGTCTACAACTTGATAATCTTAGCATCTAATTATATTTCCTCACTAATTAAACACAATGTCATAGAGGCCTCTACTCCAGTAAAGATTAAGAATGTTTTCATTACGTCTCATTTGTTTTATATTATAATTATATGGCACTTTACTGCAATATAATTGGTCTTGAAATAATTTGCGCTAAGCACGCAGTCCTGATATCGACAATTACTTTTTACAGCAGATGCAAATCGTCGCTTTAGGTATATTCATTGCCGTTGGCATGACAGTGACAAAGTATATAATGAAGCAAGAGACGAGCCAGTCCGACATTCTGGGAAGGCATAATCTGACGTACAATGGTGGTACAAGATTACGTTGATTGAAAGGGCGCGCCGCGGACAAATGATTGCCCGTACAGAGCGTGATGTTTGCCGGCTGATTAGGGACGCTACTCTGCCATATACAGTGATGTACTTACGTTTATCGATACATCTAGGGACATTGATACAATGACTAAAGTTTAATAACATTTAAAGGGATTCAAGATTTCGATATACTAGTGTATAGTTATTGCACTTCACTATTTAATGCATCCATATTATATCGTAGAGAGGATGGGTAGTAGGTCCATAATTTGATTCAAGATCTGATGAAACATGGATTTAATTCACTCAAGTCCACGTTTACTTCATTCTTACTTATATGGTATATAATAACTTACTTTTTACATCGTACTTTTTGAACGTCAATTTCGAAAATCGGTGCGATAACTTAAAATGCAAAATATTACATAAGATTGATGACCGTCAATTATTTTAGTGAAGGGAATGCAAACCTGTTCGTACAAATTTAAAATTCTGTTGTTGCTAAGGTTACTTGCTAAGGATATTTTTTATTTTTCAACACTGTAGATATGGTTCCAATGTAATTATCATATCAACAGTATTTTTATATATATTGTTATATAGTTCTGTACAGTTATTTTCTGACTGCGTCTCTTGGGCGAATTTATTTCATGAATATTAAACTATACCCAAAGTTTTGGTTTTCGTAATTGTAACGATTCTAATTCTTGGCCAGTCATCAGAGAGTGGTATTCTTGCCTGCAAGCTAATGATGTCAGCGGAGTAGTGCCTGATCTCGTCGAGGATGCCCTTCTTCCTGTAGTCCCACTCGAGCGCCCAGCTGGGACAGTAGCCGTACATCTGCCGCGTCGCGTACTTATCGCACAATACGTTGTAGCACATCACTGTGAATATACCTGCAAATATACAAATTTACATTATATATTGAGCAAAAATCGTCAGCTTTTTAGTCTGTGAATTCTCAGCCCGGGACTTTGAAATCAAAAGTAAAAGCAGTCGAGGTGTTTAAATAATGGGCACAGATCAATGTTGCCGATAGTTATATAGTGCATGTCGGAGCTTAGCTACCAATTAGCTTTGAGCTGACGCTGTGTGGCGCGCCTCGCGTGACAGATAGAAATTGTTCCCATTACTGCGAGACGTATCACGCTCTACATGCAGCGGGCTTCCAGCGTCAGCACGCGACCTCGCGTCTTTTGTCACGCCGGACGACTCACCGACGTGACTGAGCGTTAAATTTCGCTCTTACGATGACAGCTTATTACGTTTACTATCCTAAACAGTTAAGGAAATGAGCAGTTTAACAATCGCGTTAGCCGCCCCACGGCCAGTCGTGTGGAGTGCATTAGGATTATTGTCGATGACGTGGAAATGGTATAAGTAATTGCGTCTGCGAGTGCTGACGTACGATAACTACGCTTATTACGCGAGCCCTAAACGCGGTGCTGCTATACTTTGCCATGGTTAAAAAGGTACTCACGGACACAAAATAAGCTCCAACCGATATAACGAGTCTTAAATCGGTCGTCATGAGGAAAGGCAAGTAAGCCGGAAGAGAGTCGGATGAACGCATTCTTTTTTCCGTAACATGACATAAGACAATCAATTTCTGACCTATTAAGATGCGAAACTGTGGACTAAAAAGACAAGATTAAAGAAACTCGTCCCTTTGACCATTAAAACAGACAATCAGATCAAGGCGAGCATTCAAAATGTCAACAATGCGGAAGCTCTCGGAGATGCAATTGCCTCGATTAAAACACGATCCGAGGCATTTGACGGATAAGGAGATAGATGTAGAAACTAGTAAGACGGGTGGAGCGACAAAACAATGGCGCGGGAAAAACATCGAGACCGGCGTCCAGACAAATCGATAAGGATCGGGAGGCGTGCTAATCGAGGTATCGCCGATGTCACCTAGCGACACACTGCGGCGCAATAGGTATGGCCGGTGTCGCAGCACGTGCCCGCTATTGTATGCCGGCGGCGTGCAGCGGGGCGCGGCGAGACGCGGTAGGACGCGGCGCACATGCCGAACGTCGCAAACAATACGCGCATCGATAATCGCCGGTTGTTTAAGGAACCACGAGCGCCGCGAAACGAAAGCTCAACGCCGACACAATAATAAATGGTAATGTTGTCGAACATGTGGACGCGTGTCTTCACTTTAAATAAATGGACGACGATGATGATGAAATTTTACGTGCGCGAGCGAACAATGGGAGATGGTGACACGAGCCTTAAACATGATTTTTCTGGCCTCTCCCTTACTTATAGTTCAATTTTATATTTGAAATAATATGATTGAATGTGTTGTATAAGAGGTCCATGAATAAAAAAGGAAACAATAAGAGGTGTGGCTTGCCGCGTAGCATGTCAGTGTTCAGATGAACTGCACCGCATAAAGCCGCTTCGAGCCAGCATTTGTCGCTTCCTACGCCATGTCAGCGAGGGCATTATTTAAATATTCATTATGTGCCTATCTTATAATACAAGTCGTTTGTATCGGTTAGACAAGGAATCGATACCGTTAGGAGCGGTCGGTCACGCTCGAGTAATGATTTTTTTACATCAATACGATTCGTGAGCAATGGAGGCGGCCTTTTTTGCAGTTTGACCGCGAATCATTAAATGTGATTTAAATACGAGATTTACATTTGTACTGGCACTGCAGAGCTGAATACATTCGGTCAGGGACCGCGGCAGTAGTGTGACGTCAGAGCTCTCAATAGGTGTTAACGAGAGGTCATCGGTGGGAGTTAAACGAGACCGTGTACTTGTCTACTCGCCTCTATTGATTTCACCTTCGGAAGATGAAACTGTATCATGCTATTTTCACGTACTAATTGAGGTGTTACTTGTACGTCGAACTAATGCAAGTTTTTTAGTTACTATAACATAGAAGAGTTGGTATAGGTAGTGTTTCAAGGAGGTCGAAAAACAAAAGTAAAAATTCATTATTGACGGCAGCTGCGTGTTCACTGCGGACTTCAATCAACAATTTGCATAAGAAAGCCAGTAATTGCTGTGAATCGGGTCATTACATCGACTGCAGGTTACAATGGTTGCCACAACATATGGCGTCGTTCTCATTGGATCGATGTTGAAACCTACATGTTTAAAGAGACGTACCAAGCTAAATTAATCCAAAAATACCATTTCATTAATTCTTTTGTCTAAAGTTTTTTCCTTTAACATTAATTCGAAACACAGAGTCCAATCCATTCAACTGTCAGGTCTATTTAGTGCTCAACAATAATATTGTAATACTAGTATGATAGGATTACAAATATTTAAATCGGATTTACCATACAACATAAATTACAAAGGAAAACAGACATACTATATAGGAATCCCTTAGCTGACTACTAAAATTGAAATATGAACTAGTTGACATATTTCCAATCCTACTAAATAAAAATGAATGTTTAGATGGATGGATGTTTGTTAGAAGATATCTATAAAACGGCTCAACACGGATCTCGCTGAAAGATGGCATAGAATAGAACATAGAAGTTAAGTCGGCGCGGACGGAGTTCCGGGCGACTTACAGTACTTATGAAAAATATTAGTAATATGAAAACATAAACCATCTAGCCTATTGTATTCCGGATTCTTAGACCAATAAACCAAATTGATACCCAACAAATACAAGCCGTCAATATGTATACGGGTTACAAAATACAACATTATTTACCGATTACAAAATCACCAGAGAAGCAATGTTGCCGACGATAAAAGGAATACAGTCGTACATTCGTGTCTCATCTGAATATAATGGAGGGAGGCGCGTAGTGTCTGTATACAAGAATTACGTATTCAGATAATATTGTCCTTACTATAGATTGCAGACTAGATTAAAATGAATTATATTTTATCTGTAACGTTTAGTTTGGGGAAGAATTTTATTCAGGACTACAGAGCGATCTGAATATTTTATATTTGAAACTAGCTGTCGCCCGCGACACCTTCCGCGCGGGATTAAAAATAGATCTTGGCAGATTCTCAGGCCTACTCAATATGCTCACAAAATTTCATGAGAATCGGTCAAGCCGTTTCGGAGGAGTATGGGAACGAAAATTGTGACACGAGAATTTTATATATAAAATAATTTGTATTTATTTGCTCAAAATTACTAGTAGTTATTGAATCTGTATTAAATTAAAATTGCATAGAAGTTGTTTAAACGTGTCGTTATACTTATAAAAATAATATTTATAGGCAATATTTGTACATTGTAAACTATTTAGACGATCTTAACTAGACAGCTTATCTTAACTAGAGACTACTAAACTTACTAAAGAATTCTGATACAGATTGAGCTTACTTTATATTTTCCAAAACAATGCAAAATAAGGCAAATTTAGTTGCAGATTTATTGTTAGTAAACCAAGCACCAAAGTCGGGTCATAGAAATGGTGTAGTATTATTTTTTAAAAGATTCTCGTTACATATAATTTACATACAAATGCATACTATTTTCGCTTGATAGATTTAAACAATGGAGGCGGAGTAAGCTGGAGGACGAAGGGTAAATGTAAATCGAATGATAAAATTTACAAGACACGTTTGAAATTGGATTCCCGTCTTGTTTTCGGATGTAAAGTGAATACAATAGTCGCCAGTTCATGTCTCTATAAATGGGTAATGTACTTTGTGGATTACTTTTGTCGAAGGCAATTGATCGACAAAGAAGTAATATGTTTCTGTCAAATTTAAAGTCGGTTTTCTATTAGTTTTCGTAGGAAGATAATTACATCATGAATTTCACTAGCAAAAGATCGACTTTACGTCACAACCTCTAAATTTTTAATATCATTTTATTAATAAAAAAAGTTGAAGCTTGCGATTATCTTTAAAACATTCTTTATTATACTAATTTAATATGACAGTTTTAAAAAACTCCCATTATTATGGAAATAAATGAAATATTATGGAACTCCTCTTCTTTTTGCTATATCACCGTAAACGCGATTATTCCTCCTCTTTCCTTCCGTTGCATCATTTTCCGTTCCTTTTTTTCTTTAGTTTCGGCAACTTTTACAAACGTGCCTGATATTTACGCATATAATAAACGCCTTTTTTACATTACGTAAACATGTTCCGCGTCTTATATTCCTTAAATTAATAAAATTATCTAATATAAAGTCAATAATGACCTCGGAACGTCTGACCTACAAACTCGATCACTTAGCGGGACGGTGTTGGCCTTCTTTTTAGTAACACGGGCCTTTTAAGGTAATACCTCTTGATGGCCGGTATGGTGCAGCAGAATCAACTAAATCACCGTATATGCACTATGAGTAGGTATTACTGAAGTGCAATCTACCTATTTACTAATTAAAAATGTAATTATCGATTCATTACCTTTTTAATAGATTTTGTAAGAAAAATATGGTTTTGTCTCTTATTTATTAGAAAAGATTATCACGACGAATTGGCAAGTATTTTGCCATTAAACTGTCTAACCGCGAGTTTCGGAGACCAAAATTAAAATATGTTGCTCAAAACAGGGATGAAAATATGTTTTATATAGAGAGTTTGGTGTCAGAAACCAACATTTAGAATATAAGGGAACGTACCCATACTACGTGACCCGTTTGGGGGGGGGAGGAGGAGGAGCGGAGTCTTTATACTACGGTCAGTCACAGGAGCGGTTGGGGGCTCAGATTTTAGTCACATAGTCGTTACTTGTTTTTTTTTCATAATACATACTACATATAATACATTCACTAGTAATTTAAGTATGCATGCAGACCTATGCTATAAAGAAGAGTATGAGTCAAATTAATTTTTTTTTCAACTTTTGCCTGTGAAATGATTAAACGATTACTACGTGAAAACTAAAGGGTGTCTTGGCATGTACTACGAGTGGTCACCTAGGGGAGGGAGGGGT